GTCAGATGGCTAAAACACTTCCACGAGTGAAGTTTTCGGTGCGTTAAGAACCAATATGACAATAAAAAAAGTTTATGAAATTAAAAATCTTTTTGCAAATAATTCTGTTTATTACTGACATTTAAACAAAACATCTTTATGCTCTTAAAAAATTAAAAAAAGAAAAATTAATCAATAAAATAAGCCAACGAAAAAGAAAGAATAAAATAATGGATATCGTTGCAGAACGAATTTTGGGTAAAACAGCAGTCAAACCAAAGAGTTCTGTAAGTAGGAGAACAACAGAAAAGTAAAGCAGCAGATCAGATTCAAAAAATTGTATCACATTCAGAAATATGTGACTGTAAAAGCGTACGTATCCACCGTCATAAGAAAGCTATATGAGATGAAAATAATTGTGAAACACATAGAAGCACACAAAATTTGTTAAAAAGCAAAATTTTACTTCGTCGGACAAAATTTTAAAGAAAAGAAATTTTTAAAGATATCAAGCCGAACAAGGAAGGCTCTGCTGCATACCCTATGTATCACTCTTTCGCAACCAGTTTTGAGTTCTTCGCTAAAGACATGATATAAGCTAAAGTCATGCGGTAACCAAGGTCTTTTACAAGAAAACCAAACTGGTCTATCAACTAAAACTGATTTATTAGATTTTTCGAGAACTAAACAAGTAAAGCTCCGCGCTATAAAAACTTGTCTCAAACTAAACTTTATTGAAAGCCAATATTTGCTCTGTACACCCTTTTCATAAGTGATTCATTATGAGGTGCAGGTTTATGTATTCTGCCACCCAGTAAAGTACCTGTTCTAGTACTGTGCTCTATTTATTCCCTCTCCCAGTTTACTGCAAAAAGATCGCTAAACGAACTGACTGTCAGAGCTTTCAAAAATAAATGGTTAGCAAGAATTTCATAAACACAAAAAATTAAATAACAAAGGTTCCAAAATTAAGAAAAACAGCAGTGATATAGAAGCAGAAAGTGACCGTCAAAGAAAAAAGGACTACAATAGCGAACTTTCCTTGTATTTAAATATCAATGAGTAACACAGAGTGCAATATAATAATAAATGTTTGACGACTAAACTGTAAAAATTTCGCATGAGTTACGTAACCGACAGCTAAAAGCTAACTGCCCTCTTCATTTTAAAATATCTTAAGGTCGATACCATATTGTACGGCTATTAAAATAGTATATATTAAAATAATTTTAAAATTTTATTGAAATTACATAAACAAAGTAGACAAAAATGTTATTTCTATTACATATGGATTCATCAAGTGATAGCAGGATCGACGCAATGGTGCAGTGATCACTGAAACAAATTTAACTGCCATTTCACATAAGCCATAACAGTGTAATATATTAATTTATCAAACGGAATGCCCCGGCAACTAATCAGCAAAAATTTACCCTATAACAAATCAAAGTTCTCCTAGAAATACGACACAAAAAGGTTATTTAAGAGGCTTTTTACAGGGTTCTAACAAGCGTTAATTATGTACACTTGCTTCGGGTCAAAGAAGTCGCCTTTGTACGAGGAAAAAGACACAGTGGCTTCTTATGCAACATTTGAGATATTCGAACTAAGAAGGCATCACGGCACCTTCTTTGGAGAAGAAGAGAAAAAAGAGGATAGAGAAATGAATTAAAGGAGCAAAAAGTATCGACAAGTAAAAATTCTCCAGATGTTAGCGCCAATGCAAGTAATAGTACAGTCCTCATTATTCGGACTGGACTAAACCTGTACCTTAGCTTCGTAAACCTTTTTTTTTTTTTTTTTGAATGTAATGAATACAGTAAGCTCAAATGGATGATATGTATGCAAACGCAGATTTGTGCTAACACCTACACCTTTCTAGTCAAATGATAAAATTGGACGTTCAAGACTGGTAGACAGAAAAAAGGACTTCGTTTTTGTTTGACTGCGCTTACGTAGCTTTGATGCCGCTGCTTGAAACTGCTTTTACCCCCGTCTGTTATTCAGTTTATCTGCAGTGTTGCACTTTGTCTTATGTGAAATCGGCGTTGATCTGCGTTTCCCGTAATCTAAGGGTTTTTTTAACTATTTACTAATTCCGGAGGCGAACTGTCACATATACGAAACATAACAACTGATGATCAGAATAGCAGCAAATTTCCAAATTGAATTTGGGTCATTTTTTAGTGTTCAAGCTTTTGATTTCCATGACCCTGAGTGGAAGATGTCGCATGTTAGTCAAATTTAAAATCTAATTTTTTTTAACCTTCTGTGCTCGTAAGTCCAAAATTTACTCTTCTCCAATCACCCAATTTGAGCTTTCATTTGAATCGAGGAACCATATCGCAGTGAAGTCGAATTTCGCTTGTTAGCGGAAGACTGTTTTTTTCTTTATAAGAAGGGAATTTTGTCCTGCTTTCCTTTTATTAATCTTCTAATACAGGTTCCTTTCTCTTTTTTTTCAACGAGATTACTCTGCAATTGATTGCGCTTAGAAATGAGGTAAAAAACATAAGGCGGGAACCGATTTGAAAATTAACTGAATTTAGAAACATTGGGTCTGTAGTGGGGAATGCAAGTTAAGCAATCCTTCTGAGTAGAGTTCTACATAAGTGAACTCTACTGAAAGGCTATGTCAAAGAAACTACTGCAATTTTACAAAAACAGACCCATCTTGAAAGTTTAGTCAGTACCAACAAGAGATTCACTCAGATTAAGTTGCTGTAAGGAATAGAGACGTCCGCAATCCTTGGATGGCTGCAAATAATGAAGGACACTTGGAGAGGGAAATGAGACATTTTATAAAAAGGACCAGCTGAAGGCAGGGATTATAGAGATGGCGCCACTATCGAAACAGAATACTCTCACTTTTTACTTTCCCGCTTTCCGCTGATTACTCACAGTAAGGATACTGTTCAGCTGAGAGTAGTTTCTAATTGTATGTTTGAAAAGAAAAACGTGAAAATTCTTTAAATTATGCCTGATACGGAGAACCAGTGAGTGATTTCGTCATAATTGTAAATAATTCGCTTTGTTTTTGATTTTACAAGTTCACCATGTGGCATACGTAAAGTGAGCTATTCTGCAGTTCAAACTGAATGGTGCAAACCGTGAAGTTGCTAATTTCCCGTAGGTAAAAAATATGAATTGGTCTGCAGAATAAAAATAGGCAATTGCGCACTGGTGTGCTAGAGAACCATTTGGTGTTTCTCGAGCTTGTTTTTATAAGCGGCCTTTCCAAACTATTGCTCAAATATTTTAACTTTCATTAACCCTGAATCGACATTTTGGAGCTCGAAAATTTAACAATAAAGAGCTGAAATCTAATACCAAAGACTAATAAAAGAAAAAAAGATAATGATTACTCTGGAGAAAAGGCTGTTGAGTTGACATGAACTTCCTGGGACATACTACATTGTTGTGTAGAATGCTGATAAGGCCACAAAATTTGGAATAGTGTAGTTTCTGGAATGACTCAGTAGGATATTTCTCGTCACATTTGTTAAACTTCAAACTACTTTGCCAATCGCCTCGCAGGGAAAGGCTCACGTAGGATGGGAAACCTAACCACATTTTACTGAAGTAATTTATTGGGTCATTAAGTAAGTAGCAGCTGTTAAGATCAGTGTCGTGACTAACGGGCACCTTCCTAAAATGAAGAATTACTACGGTATTAACTTTCTGGTAATATGATGTTTCGACTGTGCATCGTATCGATTTTCATACCTTTGATCTTCTACAGCTTGACGATTTATTTACCTCTCGGGTAATAATACCTTCTTACTATACTGGAGCCCTTTCTTATAATTCAACCCTTTTATTCTTACTTCACCTTTATATTGTACAAAAAGAAAATCTGGTTGACATCGGTCCACAATCAGCAATATTCTATGAAGAAAAATGTTAATTATGAATGAAAACAACTTAAGATCAATGAAACAGATTAAAAGCTGCCTACTGGGCACGTATTGACAGAAAATAGTAATATAAACTGAGGGAGACAGTCGCCGATGAGCAATCATTGTTGATCGGAAGCACGATTTGGATTATGATCGCAATAACAACAACGACAATTTCCTGATTACTGTCTCTTTTTACCTCGCTTTCGTCCAGCCAGGCGGTTAGTCTGCAATTCCCCCGGGAGCTTCGCCTCAGGGAGCTTCAGTGATTTTGATTCCCCTGTGGTGCCTTCGCGAGCGGTCGCGACAGTTAGATCTAAAGCACTATACATCCAGCGGAAAAAGCGTTAGAACAATCCATTCGTAGATGCTTTCAAAGAAGCTTATTTAACCGTTTTACATGGATGACTTTAGGGGAACGAAAAACATGAGACCAACTTTTTATTTGCAAAAGTAAGGGCGGTTTTACTGAAGTAATTGCAGTTTTGCGTATTGAGATTCTAGCCACAATAATAAGAGTCATAGCTCCGAATTTCGTCAGATGAGAATTGGAATGTGAGTCACGATCATCTTTTCTATAGGCTGACATACGATTTGTAGTTTCGGAGCTCATTTAGACTGGTAGCTCGACGTCTTTTCTCCGCCCCGGTGGGCAGGGTTTCTTTGGGAACGCAGATGGAACCACTAGCCCAAGCAAGGTGCTAGCGAGTAGCACCCTGCTTGAGCTAGCAGCAAGTGAGCAACAAACAGTTGCTCTATCTGCCGACATGCAGCATGACTATAATCTGCTTCCTAAAAAATTCCTTTTATAAATATGACCATTCAAGTGTCGACAGGTTTGCGCGGGCATCCACAGTGGCTCAGAAGTTGACGACTGCACCTCACGAAGACATAGGAAGAATGAATGTAGGCTGCTGTACACTGCCAAACCAGTAGAGAAAGTGATGCATAAATAATTTAACTGATGTTATGAAGCAGTAGGAATCTACGCACGAGAGAAGTCGGAGCACTTAAGCAGTCCTGAACCATATTGGTTCATTTACCCAATCTCCGGCTGACCGAGAGCTGCTGATGTGTGCTTTGCAGACAAAAGCAGCTCAAATTTTGCACTAGCATCCCTCATCAGAAAGACTGTGCAAAAATTGGACTGCGTTGAAAAGTGCATTGGCAATCAAAGAGCTTTCTCCAGCCCCAAGAATCCTGAAGAAGAGCTGAGGCAAGACAGAATTCAGAAATTTGAAACCATAGATGGTAGAGCGGGTCCTCTTTAAACAACTTCTTCCACATGAACTGTGAATGACATCTGTCCAACAGAGTCCGTAAAGTCCCATACCGCTCCTTATGCCCCTTTTTAAATTTTTGCCAGAGTGACTCGATGGTGTTTGTGCAGGCACCGCTGAGAGGATCAATAAAGTGCAGCTTATGATTAACCGTAAGATGCTGGTACCGTTCAGGCAGGTCTTGACTGCCGTCATAAGCTGCCCACTTATCCGACATAACAGTAGTACCCGAAAGGATATACTGCCGGACAAGCGGCACAAGGGTAGCAGCATCCCTGTACTCAACTGCAACAATAAAGCACTCATTGCTATCCATCCCGATCCCTCCAAAACACCACTGATGTGGGAAAAGCTTTCCTTTATTATTTTTTCTGCAAGCCAAAACGGTCTCATCAATCCCGACGACTTTGCCTGGTCCGTTTAACTTAACAGGTCGCGCGTTAAAGTAAGAGACGCATACATACCGGAAGGCTTTGAAATAAGAAACGATAATGGTGGAGCTTATCGTACTGCCAGTTTTGCCGGCGCACGTCCAGTGCAATCTGGTCGTATACTGGCATGCTAACCTGCGACCAACAGTAAAATGAATAGAAAACTTCTTTTGACTTCAAAATTCACCTTTCAAAAAAGGCTCCACTCGAAACCCCACCTTTTTCCTGCAAACCCTCTTTTTGCATCGAAAATACCTTTTCCGCAAAGTACCGCCTTTATTTCTATCGGCAGTTAGGGTCATACCGCTGCTGCAAAAACAAACTCGCTTAAAGAAAAGAACCCCAAGCATTTAAAGAAAATGCTCGAACTCTTCATCAGAAAGTGTAAGCTTCTGATAAAGATCCCGATGACCAAAACTACGTAAGCAATTCATTAGAGTTTAAGGGAACGCACACCAATTAACACTTAATTGGTGGAAAACAATGAATAACATCCAAGAATAGCAGAAGGCAACTTTCAGCCTCAAAGATTTGCAAACACAAATGGAAATTCTGAAGCTTTACCAGCGAAAACCAGGATATTCGCTAGGAATTGAACCAGCAACCACTACACGACACGCTAGCTCACAATCTCCTGCGTCAAGTGAGACCTTGAGGCCGCAGCATTTTGAGGCATATTTTAAGTTTTTTTGCGATTAGGTAAAGGAGAGAAAGAGGAAGGAAGCTTCCTAAGCTCCGTTCGCTTCACTTGCCTTTCCCTCTTCTTTAGCTGTGTTGGAAAAAGAGACATTCACCGTTTTTTCAGCTTTCTCCTCCTCTTCACTAAAATGCACTTACCGGACGCCTTACGATGGAAGGTACCATCTGAAGCCCAGTAAATTCGGTAAACCAACCAATGTCATTTTCTTCCGAATTCAGAAGAAAGCTTGTAGAACACCTCTGTTTTTCGAGTTCTTTATATATCTGTATGCAACCAACTCTAGACGGGTCGCGCAGGCTGTGCATTGGACAAGTGAGGAGGTATTGCTCACCGTTATCATTGAGTTACGCATACTATATATGGCATCCACATACTGTACAAAAAAGGCGGGCTTCTGATTGGCATCATCTTCTTCACCCAATCAGCATGGTGGGGCCACCAGTCTAAACGACTAGTTTCTTGAGTAGATGTTGAGAATTCTAATAAATTTAAAAAATTTTAGCGAATTAGGTGTAAGAGACATAAGCTAGAAATCACAATTTTTGATATGTTTCTGAGGTGAATAATTGAGCAGAGGTGGGACTGAGAAAAATAACTGTGGATGGATCAATGTAAAAACTCATGTAGAGGAAGGACCGAATGGGCCTGTAGCAGACTCTAGAAGCTGGCCTGTAAGTCGTCAGGTTTATCTCAGTTTACAAAAACTCTTACAGTTTAAAAAGTTTTTAAAGTAGAGATTTTGGTTTTATATAAAGTCTCCGCAGTAAAAGGACGGTAAAGATTAAAAGATTCGACTACTGCCAAAAATTTTTCAGAATGAAAGACTTTTTAAAAACTGCGACATCTTTTGTCCCACTTTTAGCTTCTTCCATACGTAGACCGAAGAATCTTAAAACGATTGAAAATAAGTTTGACAGATATGGAATACGAAGAGTAGCTGAGCTCTTACTTCCAAAATAAAGCTAGAATTTAGTTGCACGAGTAGGCAGAGGAAAATGGAACTTTTTATGAGGTGAAGTAGGCTTATAGATAGTTCACAGTCGCGTAAGTAATCGCCGTGGTCAAAAAAGGTTATCATTATTTTTGCTTATAACGAGATGGATTATAAGATCGCTGGTTTTTGAAACGCATAGAGAATATTTACAATTAGGCACGTTATATACTTTCAACAAGTTTAAGGGAAAATTTCGGAATGGTAGGCTAAATTTAATGCAACCAGTGCTGGCCCAGCCGATGGAAGAGGTGACAGAGTTTGCTGTGTTTTTTGTATCGGGCTAGACTACGCAAGATCAGTGAGGATAAAATCAAAAAATAGTTTATTAGTGTTAAAAAGTGGATTCTTTTCTTTATTTGCAAAGTTATTAGGGCAGTTCATGTTGAAATGGTCAATAGCCAGTCTATATATTGCTTCTTGAACGAATCATATAAGTTTCTAGATGGAAGGAGTACACCTGAGTATTGCCGAATAAACCGCAAAGCTTCTCAATTGCCTTTACGGTATTACCTTTCTGAGTGGAGCTTTATAACACTTAAATCTTTATCAAAGAACGGAGTGTATAAAAGAGATTCTAAGTCTGCACTGAATAAATTCGTGGAAAAAGGTTTTTAAAAGGAGCCAAGTTTGAAAATTTGATAAAGTAATGAACAAAGTCTTCAATTCTCGGAAAAATCCCAATTTTGGACAAGAGTAGCAAAAGGGTGCGCTTTGTAAATTTTCCAGAAATAGAGGCGAATTGTGAAAAAAAAAAACACTGAATTACACGGTGGACAGTTAGGCCATAAGGTTAAGCCACTCCTAGCAAATTAAAAAAAGAACGGTAAAGACTGCTTACCAGAATTCTCAAAAGCATAAGAGAAGCGCTGCTTGAACATGCTGTTGGAGAATGCTGGTCAGCGACAAACGAAAATAAAAAAACCCAAAAATATTTGCCACTTTTGCAGGTTTCCAGTTTTAATAGGTTTCTTATCTTTCTTTCAGCACTTTTTACTTGCGCCGTGCAACTGCAATTAGGCTTGTCGATGTTCGACTGTACTTTTAAGCAAACTAAAGGCTAATAAAGTCATCTCAAAGAAAAAAAGCATGTCGCAGTCTTCTACAGTTATTCAGTCTCTTGCAGCATTTACTAGCAAGAATTCTTTTTAAATTATTAGACTTTTTAGCAGTCCTGCTCGAATTCTCGTTTTGTCCGCGTGTTTTTGTCCTCTAAACATCAAAGTCTTGTAGAACTTATATTCAATGCTTCAGTGTCTTAGCTTTCTAATTCACTGGCTGAGGTTGTCGGTTGAACATATCAACATGTTGAGCCATTCACGGGTCAAAATAAATGAGGCAATACGAGTTGTGCCCTTCTAACCTTGCCGTAGTTCCAGTTCACCTCACGGCAACGAAACTTCACGTCTAGACAAGAATACCACTGTGTTTTAGCTGATTGGCCTCAGCATGTCGTTGCCTATTTTATTCCATGTGTCTTTTTTGGCACAATGCATATTGAGAGCATCTGACCGCCAAAACTCGTTAGGCCGCCACCTGGAGTGTACAAAAAAAAATAAAAGTTACAGCAAAAAATTGACTTAGAGCTTGACATATAATTCACTACCTTCAAATCAGTCAGGGTACGTATAGGAGATGAAACACTATAAAACAAATCAAAAAATAGGCTGATAAAAGTTGTCTATCAGAAATTTTGTAAACCGAAAACAGCAGCTAGCTTCAAAAATTTTGTAATGGAAGTCAGAAATAATTTCATTTGCCGTGAAAAATCTCTTAATTACACCCGTTTCATCAGTTCTTTGGACTTATTGAAGTTGCTTGTGGAGAGGAATGTAAACGTTGATGTTATGGAAAGCGATAAGCTGAATGCTTCACGGTACTCAAAGTTTTAACGTAAAAGGCCCTTTAGGTCTGTTTATAGTCAATAACAATCACGATAAGCCATTTAATCTACAGTAGGTTTTCTAGAAAATGAAGCTGTGAAATAGTGACAAACAAAAGTTTCAATTCAAAAAAACTGATGCCAAAGGTTCAAAATAATTTTATTTTTTGCGGGTAATCATGAAGAAATATGTATTTTGAAAGCTATTGGTATTTCGAGTAAAAAAAGCTGTTTCGTCGTACTGTAGTCTTTGGAGTTCGTTAAAAATAGACATGATGACCTAAGCCATTTTGTAACAGTTGTTGCTAGCTTTTACGGATAAACCTGGTAAGACAAACTTCTGTTTTAATTCAGTATTTTTTATTTTAAATGTGTTTTTTCATTACCAAAATAATGCTTTCAGAGTAACAAGAGCCTCCAAATCCGACGAAGAAAGATGATTATATGCTTTATCGTCAAAAAATCATTGTAGGTCATCAAGAAATCATTTAATTTTGAAAGCTTTTACAACTAATAAACAGCCCTAAACGTATAAAAAATAAACTTTTAATGAAAGTATGTTTAGACCATAACTTATACTTCGTAAAATGTAATGTTTCAGTTTTAAAAACTTTTTTTATAATTCTAGAAGCTTGTGATCCTAGATTAACACAAAAATGTGTGACTTCTTTAATATATCTGGTTAAAATGTCCGTTTTTTCTCAGGAAATGTCTAATTTAAAGGTAAAAAACGAGGTAAGAAACACAGAGGAGCAAAATGTATATTCTTTTACTTGGTTCGCAGTTTGCGACTGTGAAAACGTGATGTGGTCGACCGTTCCTTGAACAAGTTTATATAATGCCATAATTAAGAGGAATCTATGCGGCAGTTTAGGCTCACTGTTTCCCGTTACTTGAGAGGAAGAAAATTTGCAAAAATTTTTTAAGAAGCAAACAGCAAATTTTTTAATTTTTTTAGTCTCTGTGACCAATGAGTAACATCATACCACTTTCTGATGACTCATTGACATTACCTTCGTAATGTATTGCGTGTGGCGAAGACAGAGCAAACACAGTGATAATCATTTACGCATCATTTTTACTAGTTAATTTTTTTTAGCATTTTAGTCAGGAATTTTATTTTAGCATTTTAGTCAGAAAGCTCCTCTCATACGCATAGAGGTCGGTTGACAGTTCTGTGGGAAACTGAAAAATATTTGTAATGGTATTGACAAAATATGTTGAATTCATGAATATGGTTGTCAACGGGCACAAAATTATCTTCATTTAGTTTTAATAAAAAATCGTTGTCTAATCAGCTTTCTTTGCTTTTTGGTCTATCAATTCGTTGAATGTCACCAAACTATTAATTCTTCACCACGGAACGTGTTAACAACAATTTTTTTTTTAAATTTAACATGCTGTAAATGAAGTATACTGAAAACAATGTTCTGACTAAGAGTAAAGGTCAAAAGTACTAAGCAAAAGGTTTGACACGCTACTTCAAATCTTTCGAATAGATTAATCTGAACGGAGATAGGAAACATGCTGTATTCTGCTCCAATTTAGTGGTATCACTACAATGTATCATTACAATCTCTACACTTTAAATATGAAGAGATGAAAAAGGTGTCCTTTGTTCACGAGTAATGCGTATAATCCGTTTTACTACAGTGTTTATTATTATTTCGTTTTCCAAACACTGTTTAGTGGGCACCAATTTTTGACGGTTGATAGAACAGATATTCAGAGAAATTCAAAGTCTTCACAACTCAAGTGAAGCATTGCGTGAGTTACTCTATGACCCATGTGATTTTTGCCGCTGTAACAGCCAGTTACGCGTGGTTGTAAAAAATACGAAACGGAAGAGATGGAAGAAATGCCGATACCTTGAACTGTATTTGTGAGTGCATATGTATAGATGTATATGTATGTGTGAAACTGAATTGGTGTAATTTTGACTACTCAAATTTTGGCAGCGGCGGAAGAAATTTTGGCAGATATAAATTTTGTTCGATTTGTTGTTGAAACAACAACAAAAACAATAATGACGGCAACCACAGCGATAAAAAAAGCAAAGAGAAAAGCAGAAAAAAAAAGCAGAGGAGAACTAGTTTGAATGTGATTAATGATCCGGTAAAACCATTAAAAAATCAAATTTCTATATCATTCTCACTGCTTATGTCGTAAGCGCTAAAGTTTATTGCCTTAATTGATCGTAATTACAAAAGCAGATATGCATCAGTTAGAGAATATTTAAGTTCCAATAGTAAAAAAATAGCCATGTAATCGTATGAGAGATTTTAACGAACTGTGTATGGTAATGATGCTAAAAAGCTGTTGATGATGACAAAAATCATTTTGAAGTTTTTTGCCCTCCATTTTCCTCTCTGAATCTGGTTTTTCAACAATTCCAAACCAACAAGACATCATTTATTGTCTGTGCTGATTGTTACTGTCGTTGTTGTTGTTCAGTAACAATTAATCAGTGCCAATGGTTTGTAACAAATCATCTTTGTCTGTCTATACAGCAGCATCGGAACTGCGATTTGGTCGGCTGTTGTTGCTGCTGTTGCCTCGGGTACAGTGGGACGTATTAGGTACCTTGCTGCAGATGCCCGCTTTACAGAACAACGAAGTATATACTTCTGCTGATAATTCAGCGGTATCGCTGAATCGTTATTCATTTAGGTGCCCGTATATTTCCTTCTCTTCCCATTTTTTCTGCTTTCCCTGTTACACTTAATTCTATATTCTGTTTTATTAGAGGAGATAAAGCAATTATTTTTCTTGACTGGGAGATTAACTACTATGATACTTTGGTTGTTAATTGTGTTTTAGTTTCAATAGAAAG